TTCATGCTTCTGACAAGTACAGTCCAGGCAGGGATGTCCCGGACAGGGAGCGGGAGTGGGGGGCGGTCCGCGCCGGCTGAGAGTGGTGGGGGGCCTGCCGCGGTCGGGACATCGAGGAACAGACTCCTGATCCATGCTACTCGGATGGCACACCATCGTCCACTTGCCCTGGACGATGGTGTGCTAGTGGGGCTAGTTTCGGGTTTGGACATTTATGTAATGTCGGCCCGAACAGTGCAGTCCGTTCAGGAAAGCGGCGCAGCAGTCTGCTTCAAGCAGTCGCCGTCTCAGCAGTCTTTCGCTTTCGTTTTGCGGAAGCCCTCTGGCTTCGTTCAGCCGCTGTGCTACCTGCTGAACCCTCACTGCGAAAGCGCGGGCCGTCTCACCCTTTTGTTGCCTGGAGTTGCCCAACTTGTTGTGCAGGGAAATTGCTGTTTCTTGCTCCTTGAATCTTGCAAGCAGGTGCGATTTAAATTCCTTCCAGTCACACAATTGCACCAAATCTGGATTAGTAGTAAGTAGAGCGCGCGCAGACGATCGGAGGCGGAGCCGAGCTACTTGGCATTTCTGGCGATCGTTCCATTGTGCCAAATTGGCTGCATCTTCCACTCCTTGGATCCATTCAGTAATTGGCGTCGGATCTCCGTCGCCTGAGTAGATATCAATGGAGTTGATACAAGCCGCATTGGAAATGGAGCCCTCCATTTGACGAGGCTGCTGGTACTGTACTTGCTGTTGATGTTGTATCTTCTGTGCGTATTCCGCCTTGAGCTGGTCGAGCTTCTGCCTGTGCTGCTCCCTTTTTGCGTACAGGCTCGCTAGTTCTCGCTCGTTTACTTGTAGTGCCAGGTCGAGCGCCAGCTGTTTTGCCTGTTCTTTCCCCCGCGGTGAGCGCCTCTGATGTTTCTTTGTTGTTTCTTGTTGTTGCCGGAGTGCCTCTTGTAGTCGGGCGCCGATCTGCTGCTCTACTCGTTTGTAATCTTCCTGTTTACGTTTAAATTCTGCAGTGAAATCGTCTTCTATCGGTGTCTGTTCGGTTGTCCGCTCTATCTGGCCCTTGTGGGGACTGGTCTGGGGGCTGTGTCCTGGCGTGGAGGCGCGGTGCTGTTCAGCGTCGACTAATTGCTGTCGGTATCGTTTGAGTCTGGCTTCCGTTTCTTCCTGTTCCTCGCGCTGTCTTTGTGCTGCAGCGCGGCGTTGCTCTTCCTTTGCCTTCTGCCGCCGGTTCTCTTCTGCTTGGCGCTCTTCTTTTTGTTCCTTTTCTCGTCGATGCTGGGCGATTCTGTTGAGGAGTGGGACGACTTTTACGGCCGTCTCGTTGAGACTTTGGGCGAGGACGATGCACTCTCTCGTCAGGGCCTTAATGTCAAACCAGAAAACGTCGTTAGGCCCTTGGTATTGGCTCTTGAGTATCACCTCTCTTGTTTCCACAAAATAGATGTGCGGTCTGTCCTCGGCTGCGTATTGTCCTTTGAAAGAGTTGCCGACTGTTACGAAAGTTTCCTTGTAGCTTCCCTGGGTCCACTTCTTCTCGACGTGCGTGTGGAAACGCGAAAGCAGGTAGTTTATGCTCTCGACGATATTCACCAAGCTCACTTGAGACGTGCTGTTGTTGATTTTTGCCAGGTAGATGACGGCGAAACGGGGGTATTCTCTCTTCGCGTCCAGCGGGTAGCTGGCCAGCAGCGTCCGTAGGTCAGTTCCGTTTGTCCATTTGTGCAGCTAGTCATTGGTCGAGTTGGTCCGCTCGCAGTGCGTGCCGTCCCGTGCCCGCCCTGCCAGGCAGGAGGCCGCGTGCCGCTGTACACTGTCAGAAACACCTGACACCACTGTGGAGCCGGGTTTTCCCCTTGTCTGTGTAGATTTTGGGTTTGCTAGCAGTTACAGTACAGAGGGGCCAGTCCTTAGGGGCACTTAGGGTTCTTGACAGTGAGAACACTTCTACTTACAAAAGCGGTGTTTATTCGGAGCGCACGTTGTTGACTCTCAGGGCTTCGGGGCACAGACTTGCAGACACTGCACTGGACAAGAGTCGGAGCTGAACTAACTCGCCTCGGCCCGTGGCCCATCATATATGCATCGGGCTTTGAGTGGGCGAGGCCGGGCGCGGCGCGCAGCTCGGCTGGAGCTGCGCGTGCTGGCACACTACCAGGCGTGGGCGACCCCTGCACCTGCATCGTAATTGTTTTCTTGTTTACTTCTAAAGGTGCAGGTGTTTGGGGGCACCTTTGTGCGCATCGGCCACTTTTGGCCGATTGTCCAGTGCACGTGTTCGTGTCACCTTGACACGTGGAGCGGGAGTACCACATCTTCCCGCCATTCTGCAAACAGAGAGAGTGAGTGCTAAGAGGGTGGTCACCGCCACTCGCGACTCCGCGGCTACACGTCACCGCTTCCCCCGCTCATCCCCCGCGGAGCCGCCGCCGCGGCAGATTCTGCCCCTACCCCAGTTCACGCGCGCTCCCCCCTCCTCCTCGCGATTCCTGGGCCCAGGGCAGTTCTGCCCCGCACAACAGTTCCCTTGTCCGTGTTGTTGTTGGTTGCTAGCAGTCTCAGTACAAAGGGTCCCGGGCCTTAGGGGCACTTAGGGTTCTTGACAGTGAGAAAAACTTCTACTTACTAGAGCGAAGGTTTATTGGAGCAGGGCGATGCGACTCTCAGGGCCTTGATGCACAATTTCATCTAGCGTGCTTGTTATTTCCGTTTTGATGGGTTCAGGGACTGAGCTCGACTTGGTGACCATTGGTTTTAGTTGCTCTGTGAGGGCTTGGAGGTGATCTTCGTACTTGTCGACTCGCTTCATGTTGAGTAGGAGAACCCACTCGCTGAGGGAGATGTGGAAACTGTTCGCTCTCAGGAACAAGCTGCCTCAGTACAAAGGGTCCGGTCCTTAGGGGCACTTAGGGTTCTTGACAGTGAGAAACACTTCTACCTACTAGAGCGAAGGTTTATTGGAGCAGGGCGATGCGACTCTCAGGGCCTTGATGCACAATCTCACACTGCACTGAAAGGGGCCCGGGACTCGACTGACTGGCTCTGGCTGGAGCGGCTCATTTTGTATAGGCCGCTTATTAAGTGGGCGAAGCCCGTGGGCGGCGCGCGTGCCGGCACACTCCGAAACATGGCGACCCCTGCACTTGCATTCTAATTGTTTACTCTAGTGCAGTGCAGATGTTTAGGGTCACCTTTGTGCAGATGTTCGGTGCAGGTGTGCCGGTCACTTTGGCCAGCTGTCCAGTGCGCGTGCACGTGTCACCTTGACACGTGTCGGCGGGAGTATCACATCTCCGGCTGCCGTGAAGTACCCGTATGGCGCTGGTTGAACGGGCGCCTCCTCGGTGACGGGTGCGGCAGCGCCGGCGGGTGGCACCCGGGGGTTGCGGCCGTGCGCTGCGACGGCAGCGGGTGCTTCACCTGTGTTGTCCGGCACGAGCGCTGCGGCGGCGGCGGGTGCTTCACGTGTTTTTGTCGTCCGGCACGATCGCTGCGGCGGCCGGTTGCTGGTGGTACTCGGTGTAGTTGTTGCCGAATGCTGCGGCGGCCGGGGTCTCGCGGGGCCCAACTCCGTTTGGCGATGGCGGACTGGATGGCGACGGCGTTCCGAAAAGTAGCCGCATCCTGTCGGCCATGCTTGGTGGAGGCGTCCGCGGCGCCGTCGTGGAGTGAGCTGCGGCCGTCGGGACATGTGCCTGACGTGACACGGGCAGGGGCCGGGTGGTCCGCCTGAGGTACGGGTGGTAGTCGCGGCCTGGAGTCCGCGGCACTTCGGCGTTCTGGGTACGGGGCATGTTGTTCGCGGGACGGCTGCAGGGAGCGCACTGATGCTCCAGGTGATGCTCCCATCCTGGGCGTTGTTTGCGCTACCTCCGAGAAACTCGGACCAGCCTGTTGTCCGGAGAGACTTTTCACTTCGTCGTGGACAGCTGCTATTGCTTTTGACAGCTTTTCAGCGCTCTCCGCTTGGTCTTTGAGTGACTTTGTCACCTTCGACTTGTAGCCCATCGCCATCCAAGTAAAGGATCCGATACATAGGTCCGTCAGCTTGGCCTTTTCTGCCTCAAGCAGTTTTGACTGTCTTATTGTTTCCAGCATTTCCCAGAGGTTGCTAGTAACTATCGAGAAAGGCTCGGCATTAGATGCCGCAACTTGTCTTTCGATCTCAGCCATCACGTGTGGCTGTATAACCAATGTGACTCCCTTCGACTCGAAGGTCTTTTCTTCTCCTTGGCTCATTTTGTACTGATATCTATGAGCTAGTGTTGGTTATACACTATCTTATTCTACCAGTCGGTCTACAGGCCCGACTTCCCGCCTTTTAGTAGTTTCCAGTCGACTCTTACAGGCGCGACTTCCCGCCTTTTGCTAATTATAATACTGTCCAGTTACCTAGGTTGACTAGGCAACCTTAGAGCCGTGTGCTTGCCTCGCTTCCCACAAGTCACAGTGGACCGGGCAGATCGTCGTACTCTTCTGCGCCGTCTGAGGTGAAGTCCACTGACTTCGGTCTGCTTGAGCTAGCCACTGATGTCGGACGGCGCGGCGTTGAGATTGCTGGTCTCCTTGCCGGAGCCTTCCTTGTCCTCCTCGGAGTCTGGAATTCAATCTCGTCCAATTCCAGCTCCTCCACTCTGCTCCCGTGCTGTCTTCTCTCAGCCCGACAGCTGAATTTGAAGTCTCAGTATCACTGAGACAACCACCGCCAGTACAATAATGGCTGTCAAGGTGATGTTAGCGTACCTGTAAGTCAGGCAATCTTGCGCTGTGAGGCCAATCGGGCAAAGCCCTGTACCTTCCAGGCACTTGTCCCTTTCCTTAACAAGGACGTCTTTTAACGCTAGCGCTTCACTTAGCGCCTTTCTAGCGGACTCCAGATCTCGAGTCAGCTCTGTCACCTTGGTGCTCCACTGGAGGGACATCCCTCCCTCTAGTGAGGTGCACAACTCTGATTTGCTATATCTCACGTCAGCACAGAAGCTGAAAGGCATAAGTGCCGCCTGCGTTTAGCTTCCCGGGGTTTTACCCCCGGTACTGGGCCCTCCGACCACGTCGAGGTAGCAGGCCTTTGGGTAGGCTTTGTCACTACAGCTGAGTAAGAAAGTACTGGGGCCGTACTCCAGTTTCACAATAGGATTCGTTGTTGAGTTCTCTATGCGCCTAAGCTGGACCCTTCGAGCACGCCATTACACAGAATACAAAAGTAAACTGTGTCCCCGGAGGGCATCCTCAGGGATAGGGTACGTACCATTGCTGAAAGAAGGAAAATGAGAAAGTATAATCATCACAAATTTTACATCCCAGTTTCAAGTTCATATGTTTGTCGGGACGCTACTCCCTTCAAAACACTTCAACGCTTCAACACTTCCACGCGGAAATGTCTTCGATGCGCGCTACGTCGCCGTCAAGGGCGGCGAGTCGCAGGCGTTGGCAGGCCTGATCGACTTCTGCTACAACCTGGGCGAGGGGCGTCAGCTGCGCGGTCGGATATGGTTGTGTTGCGGACACGGGCGCCACTACGTTGTTCAACTCCGTCCGTGTCGGCAAGGGTAGCGGTGATGCCGATGGCGTTGACGGCGGTGATGGCGGTCCGGGCTGCGGTGCGGGCCGCGTTGTTGTCGGGCGCTCGGGTCGCGTGGCCCGGCGCTCGCATGCCGGTTCATACGGAGCCGTCCGCTGTCTTTGAGTGCGGTCGGGTCGGTGTGAACCAGCGCGGCGCTGGTCCAAGGGGCGACGCCTGTCCGGGCAGTGCCGCGAGCCTGTTGGCGGCGGCGGCGCTGCCGGTGTCCCGCGGGGGCGCGGCGGGGTCAGCGACGCGGGCGACGTGGTGTGTCGTCCGGCTGGTGACAAGAGCGCCGCGGTGCGCGGGGTGCGCCATGGAGTCGGGCCCGCTGCTGGTCTTGGCGGCTCAGACGCTGGTGGAGGCAGGCCCTGGGCGGCGACCATGTCGACGTAGTCCTGAGTGAAGTAGCCGTACGACATGATCGGGCTGGCGGTCTGCTCGGTACTGAGGTGCTGGTGGCCTGTGACGTTCCGCGAGTCCAAAAAATGGAGAAGAAGGAAAGGAGTAAGGAATGGAAGGGTGGGGGTGCTTTTTGTGTTTTCGGGAAGGACAAGGAAAGGGAAGGTATTCTTTATTGCGACATTGTGAGTCATTTTGTCGAGCACGGGAGAAAGTCTGAGGAGACTGGCTACTTGCTTAAAATAGTGAAACCTAAAAATTATTTTGTTTTCTCAGATGTTTGAATTAATAATTAAAACTAAGGTGGAATGATGAAGTACTCATGTCGTGACCCGTTTTCGGGGTTACGCGCTTAGGCTGGCCCTGGCTGTGCTGGACATGCGTCCGCAGCTCGTAGGCCTACCTTGCTTACTAGTTTTAGCGTTTCTTCTGCAGCGGAGTTTGCCCCATCCACTGGCGAGGCTCGGGCCTTAGGTTGGCCTAGCGCAGGATCGCCAGATCGCACTCGGACTGAGGGTCCGCGGGACTATGGCTTATCCTATCGCGCAGGCTGGATGCTGGAGCAGAGATGCGGATTAATTTATACCTTTGCGACGCACCCCTCCGGCCTCGGCGGCTCGCCGGGCTCGGCGGCTCGCCGGGCTCGGCGGCTCGCCGGGCTCGCCGGGCCCTTGACCGTTCGGCCAGGCCCTTCGGATGACTTCGGCTGACCCGAATCGAGATCGGCCGAAATCATGTGTGATTCCCCTTGGCGTGGGTGTCGTCTGCATCGGCTCGCCGCGCTGCACTCACAATGGCAGCCGCGGCCTCCTACCTGGCACCGCTACAATGCTGCCAACGCGCCCTCTTCGTTGGCCACCCTGTGGTGTGGCCGGCGCGGTAAAATTTGAACAGTGTACGCATCTCGCTAACTAACTATATGTAGACCAGCGCTGAAAGCGTGGCTCTACATCACTATCGCCTTATTTAAAAAAAATATGAAAAAAAAAAGAATTGACATGGGTACAGGAAGAACAAAAACGCAAGAGTGGAACCAAACAATGCGGAAATAAATTGTCACAGGACAAGTTTATTCCGAGCGTGATTAAGAATTTAATAATGAAATGGGTGATAGTGCACCTATCGTAATTCTACCAGGGCAGACCACAACTATAATTAGTATTGACATACAGTGAAATTTGATGCGTGCTGTCACTTGGTCGTGGGAGGCGCTGGTAGTGCCGGGAGCGTGGGGGGCGCCAAGAGCGCCCTCTTTTTGTTGTACGCGCGGCGTTCCGCGCGCGTTGGGAGACGTCTCTTGGTTGCCGTTTTTTCGCGGAGGTACCCCAGGAGCACCTGAACCTCGTCTTGCGCTCGTCGCAAGTCCGCGGCCTGTGCCGCGACCTGCGCCCTGGCATCGCGCAACTCGGTATTCCTCTCTTCGAAAGACGCAGCTGCTGCGTAGACTAAAGCCTTTGCTTCAGTAGCATCGTTGATAACATTTACGCCGAGCTCCCGAATGGCGTTTACGCGGCCTTCGGTTGCGGCCGCCTGCATGGCTCGTACGGCCAGTATAACGTTGCGCACGAACTTGCGCATTTTGTCGTAGTCCATCTGTGCGGCCGGCCGTGGCGGTTGCTGCTGAGGCTGCGAGGGTGGGACCTGCGGCTGCGGGCGATACTGAGGCCGCGACGATGTGGTTTGCGGCTGCGGCTGAAGCGGAGGCCGCGAAGATGTGGCTGGCGGTGGCGGGTGTTGCTGAGGCCGTGAAGATGTGGCTGGCGGTGGCGGGTGTTGCTGAGGCCGTGAAGATGTGGCTAGCGGCGACGGCTGATGCGGCGGCCGCGAAGATGTGGCTGGCGGCGGCGGCGGCTGATGCTGAACCCGCGACGATGTGGCTGGCCGCTGCAGCCCCTCGGAACCGGTGGCGTCCGGCTGCAGAGGTGTTTCGCCGAAGAGCAGCTCGCTACGCCTCCGTCGCTCTTCCGGCGTGAGCGACGGCACGGCCCGGCGGGGTCTGTCTGGGCGTGTGGGCTTCCGCACGCACGCACCCCACTCGATGTCGCCTGCATCGTTTATCTTATACACACTGCCCTCGCCTGGGGTATGTGGAACAGTGGCCATCACCGCTGCTGTTTCCACGACACTGGCACTTAACACTGGCACTTTGCACTGACACTGGGGACATTCCATGTGAAGTCAACCAGGCCTTAGCCACCATGGGCTCCGATCCGGTTCTCGTTTTCAGGGTTTGTTACCCCTATGGTCCCATGAAATAATCGGTACTTGGTTTGGGGTCCGGCCCCCCAGGGGCGGGGCTATGGCCAATTTATTTTTTTGCTAAATATTGGAACAACGCAACTTTGGAGGGCAATATCTCAGCAACCATTGGTCGTAGGTCAAATCCGAGACCAGATTTGGAAAGAGGATGAAAAACTGAATCTTTTTTGTCTTTGAAGTTTTTACGTCCAAAAACTTTTTATAACTTTAAAACTTTAGTGAAGTTTTCAAATTAGCGCCATTTCCTAGATCCTCAACCGATTTTGACCAATCTGGGCTTAAAAGATAGCTTAAATCCTTCCCTAAACGAAAATGTTAACCAAAAAATGTGTTCGGCTTCGTTCCCGAGAACGAGCTATTTTCGTGAACCCCTGCAACCACGTATTTCACCAAATTGTAGTGACGGCCGCACTCGATACCACACTGGACGCTCTCTTCGGTGTTTTCGGCTCAAGGCAAGTTTCCGGGTTGCTTTTCTAAGGTCAGGGGACCCAAACGCCTGTCAGGTAGGCCAACAACCAGCAGACCTGCAACGCACTAGTGACGACAGGGTGGCCTACACTATAAAATCAAATGTGTGCTTAGTACAAAGCTGTGGGAGTATGCTTGGAAGCATACATCTATAGGAGTGTGCTTGTCAAGCACACATCTATAGAAAAGTGCTTGACAAGCATACATCTATAGATGTGCACATATAGCTGTGTACTTGGGCAAGCATGCATCTATGGCTGTGTGCTTTTAAATGTGTGAGATGAATGCATGCTTGCCCAAGTACACATCTATAGATGCATGCTTGCCCAATCACACTTCTATAGATGTATAGAAGGTCCACTGACCTTAGTAAAACAAACCCCGGGAAAATTGCTTTGTAAGAACACAGCTATAGGAGTATGCTTGGGTAAGCATGCATCGATAGAAAAGTGCTTGACAAGCATACATCTATAGATGTGCACCTGTAGCTACTTGGGCAAGCATGCATCTATGGCTGTGTGCTTTGGAATGGGTGAGATGAATGCATGCTTGCCCAAGTACACAGCTATAGGTGCATGCTTCTCTAAGTACACATCTATAGATGCATGCTTGCCCAAGTACACTTCTATAGATGTACACTGAGAAAACCTTACAAACTTTTTGGGCCTTACAAAGAAATGAAGTTTGTATAACAAAATATTTTGAGCATACATAAGCTTACAAAGAAATTACTTCGTAATTTACGAACTATTTCTTCGTATAACAAAGTATTTAAGTTTGTTATACGTATGCTTAAAATACTTCGTAAGGTTTTAAGAGTGTATGCTTGACAAGCACACTCCTATAGATGTATGCTTCCAAGCACACTCCCACAGCTTTGTACTAAGCACACATTTGATTTTATAGTGCAGGCCACCCTGTCGTCACTTGTGTGTTGCAGGTCTGCTGGTTGTTGGCCTACCTGACAGGCGCTTGGGTCCCCTGACCTTAGAAAAGCAACCCGGAACATTGCTTTGAGCCGAAAACACCGAAGAGAGCGTCCAGTGTGGTATCGAGTGCGGGCCCTCACTACAATTTGG